ATCATTTCTCCAGTACATCTTCTGAGGATATGATATGTATTTCATAAATAAATTCATGAAAGTTCCCCGTCAGCAATCACGTTTTTATCTAGCTGTCAGTGAAGATCAAGGTTCCTGAATAACATTAGTATATGCATATAATAACGCGAAATTTTTTTTCTACCTACGAAAATGAGCCCAATGGGCTTTCGTAAAAATGGACCCTTATTTAATGTAAAAAAAAATCTGTCGCAATTAATATGAACTTGAAAAAAGCAATACCTTTTTTTCGACAAAGTAAGGGGTCATTTATTTATTTCATTCATTTGTTCGTTTGTCCATCAGACAGTCTGTCTGCTTTAAAATATTAACACTGGAAATATTTTTAAAGAGAAAAAATAGGGCTTTCAATTTTCACGAGTACATTTTCTGCGAAATATATGGGGATAATGAACAGTATTCTTGAAAACTTTCGAGTTTATGAGTGACAAAGACCTTTCCAAATATGCTACAACTTTTTACCATGTGACCTTGAAGTTTGACCTGCTTTTACAAAAATTATTCTTACGTTGGTCTGAATGAAAAGAGATAGGATTTTTAGTTTTTCAACATGTCAGGCCGGTACATGTCAGGATGTTATACTGTATAAATAATTTTTATTACCCGCATAGACATCGGAAAAGGTAGGCCCCACTTTTTTCTTTGGCAAAGATAGACGTTCTGAAAGATGAAATTTAGAAGTCTGAAGTAAATTTTAAATAATTAAAAGACGAAAAATGTTACTGAACTTCCTGGAAAAAAAAAAACCCCGGTAGATTGAAAACTCAAAAGTTTAAAATGCAGAGATCGTTTTTGGAAATTTGAATTTTGAATATTTAAGGTAAAAATTGTAAACCTGTTTGGAAATTTGATAATTTACATTTTTGAACTAAAATATTAAATTTCAATATACCAAATCAGTTCGAGTTTTTGAAATTTAGAAATTTGAACTATTATATTAACATTCTAAAACTCAAAATCCATTTAGAAATTTGAATTGTAAGCTTTTAAGTGTTGCACCAGTGTTTACACGGACGGAATGTTATTCCATGAGCAAATTATTTCTCTTTATTTTACACTCTAATAAAATGCGATGATTGTCGATTAACGACGGTATTTGATTCGAAGCAAGGGCTGGTAGAGCGAAAACGCTGATTGAATATTTTGCCGACTGAAATTTGTGTTGATCTCAACTTACCTTGACTATTCAATGTTCACCATTAGTTTGCAACATTTTATCCACCCAAATTTGGACTTTTTTGTGCATTGTTTAGCAAATATTCGAAGTAAACAAGCAAATTCAAGGAATTGTGGATCATGTCATTTATTTAGAAATCATCACTGAACTCCAATGTCAAGGTCAAAGGGTTAAATTTCTTGGTATAAAATTAAGTCTTCTCATAAGGATTACATATGTGAAGTATGAATGCCCTTGCCCTTACCATTCAAAAGTTATGGTCAAGGTTAAAGTTTTTTCATAAGTGCAAGAAATCTCCAAGATCAAGGTCAAAAGGTCAAGGTTTTTGATATCAAATGAAAGGTATTGCCACAAAGAATGCATATGTGAAATATGAAAGTCCTAGTATCTTCTGTTCAAAAACTGTGGTCAAGGTCAAAGTTTTTGAAAAGTAGGTCAAATTCCAAGTTCAAGGTCAAAGGTCTTAGTATCCAATGCTCACAAGAATTAAATAAATGAAGTTTGAAAGCCCTAGCCCTTACCGTTCAAAAGTTATGGTCAAGGTTAAAGTTTTTTTTATAAGTACGAAAATCTCCAAGGTCAAGGTCAAAAGGTCAAAGTTATTGGTATCCAATAAAAGGTCTTGTCACAAAAAATATATATGTGAAATATGAAAGTCATATTGTCTACCATTCAGAAGTTATGGCCAAAGAAAAAGTTTGGAATTTTTTAGTTAAAAAAAGTTGAAACTCCAAGGTAAAGGTCAAAAGGTCAAATTTGGTGGTACCCAAAGAAAGGTCTTATCACAAGGAATACACATGTGAAATATGAAAGTCATAGCTCCACTAAATCAAAAGGTATGGGCAAGGTTAAAGTTTTTGTGACGGACTGACAGACTGACAGACGAATGAGATTTAATGTCCCCTCGCTTTCGCGAAAGCGGGGGACAAAAAGGTTGCCTACGTATGAAGGATGTGTATGTAATAAGTCAGATCTGAAAGAGATTTCGAGTTATCCATGAGACAAAGGATAAAAAGTTTCGAAAGTTTTATACGAGCTCCATAATTCACTTTTTATGCCCCCGTAAACAAAGTTTCGGGGGTATATAGTTTTTGTCATGTTCGTCCATCTGTCTGTCTATCTCTCTGTCTGTCTGTCTCTCTATTTGTCCTCAAAAACTTTAACCTTGCCCATAACTTTTGATTTAGTGGAGCTATGACATTCATATTTCTCATGTGTATTTCTTGTGACAAGACCTTTCTTTGGGTACCACCAAAGTTGACCCTTTGACCTTGACCTTGGAGTTTGAGCCACTTTTACACAAAAATTTTTAACTTTTACTTTGGCTATATCTTTTAAACATTAAATACCAGGACATTTATACATAACATATATATTCTTTGTAGAAAGACCTTTCATTGGATAATAACAACTTTGACCTTTTGACCTTGACCTTGGACATTTCTGTACTTATGAAAAAACTTTAACCTTGGCTATAACTTTTCAACGGTAAGAGCTAGAGCCTTAATACGTCACACATGTAATCCTTGTGAAAAGTCACTTTATTGGATACCAAAGAACCTTGACCCTTTGACCTTGACCTTGGAGTTTGACTTACTTTAAAATACAACATTGAACATAATTTTTGAAGGGTTAGAACTAGGGCTTTCATACTTCATATATTTAATCCCTGTTACAAGGCCTTTCATTTGATATCAAGAACCTTGACCCTTTGACCTTGACCTTTAGGTTTGACCAACTTTTACAAAAAAAATTCCAAACTTTTACTTTGGCCCTAATTATTAAATGGTAGATACTAGGAATTTCTTATTTCAAATATCACTTTTTGTGGCAAGACCTTTCATTTGAAACCACCAATTTTGACTTTTTGACCTTGACCTTAGAGATTTCCGTACTTACGAAAAAACTTTAACCTTTGCCATAACATTTGACCGGTAAGGGCTAAGGCTTTCATACTTCAAATATGTAATTCTTGTGAGAAGACCTTTCATTAGATATCAACAACTTTGACCCTTTGACATTGACCTTGGAGATCCATCTTCTTTTACAAACTTTAACCTTGGCCATAACTTTTGAACAGTAGGGGCTAGAGCTTTCAAGTTTTTACATATGTAATCCTAGTGACAAGACCTTTCATTGGATATTAAGAACCTTGACTCTTTGACATTGGAGTTTGACCTACTTTTTACAAACTTTAACCTTGGCCATAATTTTTGAACAGTAAGGGCCAGCGCTTTCATACTTCCCACATGTAATCTTCGAGAAAAGGCCTTTCTTTAGAAACCAACAACCTTGACCCTTTGACCTTGATTAATATTTAACAAAACTGCCACTTTTCTTAAGTATTAAGAATAAAATCATAATTTGTGAAAGTGCAAGGGACTTGTCAATCAAACCCCACTAGAAATTCCAAGTTTCAATAAATTGGAAATGAAATAAGATTTTTATCATATTTTCCTGTGAAATGCTACTACAGAAATGAAATAAGATTTTTATTATATTTTCCTGTGAAATGCTATTACAATATATAGGTCGTAATATCATAGAGAAAATTTGAGAAAATATTAATTTCAAATCTGTGTCTATGCATCTTTAAAGGGACATGGACAAGGTTTCAGATTTTGAAAATCCAATTTTGTTCTGTTTGTAAATTCTTAGCTAAGATATTTTTAATTGAATTTAAGTTGTCGAGATACAACACAGATTTAGAGCTCCAAACCTGTCATGAAAACAAGGCCTGTGCCATGTTTTTGTTTACATCGGCTCAATATTAATATATGAGACACTGTTTTGGTATTTACTGGTAAAAAGTGATACCACCTATTCGAAGAGGTTATATCACTCATTCACCTTGAAACTGATTGAAATCATTTTCATTGGCCCATATTTATACAGTAATTCATCATTACAAGGTTCTTGAGGGTTCATGTGAAATATACCAGTGGTACATTTTTGGGGTAGGGGCTCCTTCAACATGCATTTGACACTTCTTTGCAGTACTCTGGACCCCATTTCTTTAAACTGTAGATTCCCAAATAATATGCAAGGAATTAATATTGCCTTATTTCATGAGAAGCACAACTCACAAAATTAATTTACTACCGTTTTGATTTTTTTTTTGCGCTAAAATTTAAATCTTTTGATCAGCAATCCACTAACATTTCCTGTTCTTTCGATTTGATGTCAATCGAATTAAAAATATAGCTGCAGCATATACTCCGTAAAAAACTAGCATAACATACTGAATCTTTATTATGCACCCGGATTGGTAGATCAAGGGCGTATATTGTTTTTGTCCTGTCTGTCTGTCTGACTGTTCTGTTTGTTTGTTTGTTTCTCTCGAACTTTAACCTTCATCATAACTTTTGAACCATGAAAGATATAGACTTCATATTTGGTATGCATACTTCACTAATTAAGCTCTTTCAAATGACACCAAGGTCAATGACCTTGTGTCCTTAACTGTGGCCTATATGCTAAAAATAGCTTTTTTCTGCAAACTTTAACCTTCACCATAACTTTTGAACCATGAAAAATAGAGACATCATATTTGGTATGCATACTCCACTATTCAGGTTCTTTCAAATGACACCAAGGTCAATGACCTTGTGACCTTGACTGTGACCTTAATGCTAAAAATAGCTTTTTCCAAACTTTGTTGCCATCGGGTGCATAGTGTTTCATAAACACATCTTGTTTTTGTTTTTATTATCATCCAATGAACTCATTGTAAAAAAAAATGTGAGAAAAACATTTACAATAAATAAATAGGAAAAACACCAACTAAACAAATATAAACAATTAGTTTAATAAGCACTCATTAAATAAAACCCGTTAAACAAAAGACAGTTAAAGTCATGGTCAGATTTCATGTAACCTCAATCAATTACAATGTTCTTAGAAAGCTGTCTCTTCCATCACAACTCTTCTTCTATTATGTAGTGGTCTTAGAGGCAGGTTTTATACATTTCCTTGAAAATTATGGTTTCAGTCTCATTTTTCTTCAACATGAAGTTCTCTATTGTTCAGGTCATTCAGATTACCAGGATACCTGTTTATGCTCTGTTTTGTGAGTTTCCTTTATGACTGTTTCTTCTCCCCAATTTGTGTTAGTTTTCTTTTGGTTGATCTTCAGATTTCTGTTTCCTTTGTTGCATTTTTTCTATATCTCTGAGTACCCCGTCTCTCATTCGCTGAAAAAAGTAGGAAAAATTATTGATGCTTCTTCAATATAAATGAGTGAAAGTAATTCAAGACACATTGTGAATCAACTTGTAGATTTTGCCCTCCTTGGCTGCTGAAACCCTTACAGTTGTCTAGTGCCAATATACTCTCTTGATTTGAATGTTGTGTCTGATAGCAGAACATTCAAAACAAGCAAGTTTTATGGCCTGTATAGACAACTATAAAGGGTCTGGATGTTGATACAATACACAGGTTGCTTACATAAATAATGTTTCTAGAATTAGGGAGTAAAAGGTACTTGATTGACCAATTCTGGAAAGTGAAAAAATTCTCCCCATCAGTGCACAGAAAATTGAGCCATATATAGCACCTTATTCGCATTAAGGGATCTGTAGCATTATATTTATTTCATTTATTCACCAATCAAGGGCAGCCCTCAGGGGGTATATGCAATTAAAAACAAACAATATAATCATGATTATAACAACATTAACAGGTAATGTTTGCATCAGGTGCAAAATTTACTTGATCCTCGCTTGTAAAAGTTCTCAGATTAGGAATACTGCATGGTATAGTTCACAATGGAATATAAGCATCACATATAATGTAATAATAATACAATATCAGGGAAAAGAAAAGAAAAAAACCAAGCTACTTTATACTGCAATGATCAGACGAATAATAGCAAACAAGTACATGTAATCATATTATAATAATAAACAGTCTGCAGATATAGGAGTAGTAACATTTTGAAAGTATTTCATAGAAATTTCAATTTTCAGTAACCATGACAACACCCTTCATGGAAATCAAGTTGATACACAGAATTATGTAGCTTAGTGTATTTGTGTGCCAACTTGAAGTTACTTTGAAAGCAGACTGAGGCTAAAACTGTCAGAGGATTAATGTTTTATAAAATTGTTTACAGACGGACAGACAAACAGACAGACGCCTTACTATCACATTAACTCTTTTGGGTCTCTGACCAGTGACCAGCTGAGGCCTGTTCAACAGGGCGAGTGCTCGTGAACTTTTCTATTGGAGGTATAAGGAATTTTAGCGAACGCTCGCGAACGTTTGCTCTGTTGAACAGGCCTCAGTAGACTAGAGTATAGATGATGTGTTGCTTATATTTTGCGAGGAAATTCGAGCCGTCCACAACTGGAACAGTGTTCACTTGAAATTAAAAGACACATGGGTTTATTCAAGTATTTTTGCTCGACAAGAACACATTTTAAACTCAAATGATCAAGCCATTCAAGGCTCATTTACGTGTAAATGCTCTATACAGAGAGAGGTCATATTAGTTTGCAAGAGGAAATTCGGAATAAAGTTAAAATTTTCATCGGGACATTTATTACAAAAATTACAAATTATAGGAATTATCGAAAATATATTTTTCTTTACCCTCTTTTCCGTTACGGCGTCCCACAACACGAAACCACCAGCTGCAGCTAAAAATACAAAAGACACACGAAGAACAAGTTGCGATTGCGACACCGGCATAATCCAAGACAGTCGTACATAAAATGTCTCGTGTACTATGTCTTGCAATGAGGGAAACGAATCCAACACTTGGCTAGCGAAGATGATTCTAGACTGAAGCATAATTATTGAATTGCAATATATACAGAGGGCAAAAAACACGGACCCCCGGAAATTCCAGAGGTGGGATTAGGTATCGAGGAGGAGAAAACATCCCCTGTTGAGCGGCCACACATCCCATGATCCCCATGTATTGATCAGGTAGATTGATTGATTGTATGTTGTTTAACGTCTCTCTCGAGATTTTTTTTACTCATTTGGAGACGCCACCACTTGCCGGTGGAGAGCTACAAATTTTGTCCTAGCAGCGAGGGATCTTTTTCGAGCCAGCACCTACTGCGACACGGGACCTCGGTTTATACATAGGCGCTTGGTTTCAGGATGGTGTATTTTGTGTATTATTATGTGTTTTTCTAGGTGTGTCTGAATACCCTTATCAAAATAAAAATAAAAATTCGCTGAAATTAGCACGTTTTAAAAATGTGATATTTACTGTATATAAAAAAAGTAAATATCACATTTTTTAAAACGTACGTGCTAATTTCAGCGAATTTTTATTTTAATTTTGATGAGGGTATTCAGACACACCTAGATAAACACATAATACACAAAATACACCATCCTGAAACCAAGCGCCTATGGGTTTATACGGTCTCACCCAAAGGACCGATCTCCATGTCCCAAATTGGGATTCGAACACGCGACTTTAAGGATCAACTTACATCGCGACTGTAGAGCTCTGACCACTGCACCACGCGGGCGACTGATCAGGTAGAATGAAATTCCCGAAGTTAATCCATGCAGTATAAGATACAAAGGCCTAACAACTGGTATGATACAAATACGACCCATAGGCGTCGGAAGCAAATTAGAATATTTATTCAACCAATTTGGGCCCACAGTGGAGCATACAGAACAGTGTCCAAAATCATCACAGTTATACATATACAAAACAGAACAAAACAAACATTGTATAATGAACAGAGAGTTAGTTATCTTCTTTTAGGATGTATAGAATGTACATTATAAGTGGCCTATGTATAATATCTGCAATATGCCTATATTGAACTATGTTGTTTTCTCTTATTAAAATTTGCATTTAAAAGTTGGCATAATAAAACAACAAACTCAGAATCTTCATTTGACATAATCCATGTAAACAGGTCAACATTGTTAAGCAGTATCAAATAATAGGAAAGGTTTTAAAGATTTTATCTAAAAACTCTCTTCTTGAGTCATTATAAAGTGAACATTCTAGCAAAAAATGCAATTCATCCTCAGTTGGACTTGAGGTGCAGTAACGACAGATTCTCTCACACCTGGGAAGAATTTCATTTTTACCACATTTATTAATTTTCCTTTCATACCTACCCGTTTCCACCCTTAAACAATGATTACTAATTCTGAATTTTGTGAGAATTACCCGATTGTCTCGGTTTTTCATATTCAAGTATTTTTCAAAATAAAAAGACCTTTTATACTTAAAATATGTATTTAATTTACCAAAGCCTTCCAAATAATTGGTACGAATATCGTTCCAAATGTTTAAAAAACTGTTACTGAGTTGTCTTTTCATGTACAATTTAAATTTGTTTTCACTTAGTTTTTTACAAAGGGACAAATTAATATTAAGTTTTTCACTGTAGAATAATATACTGGAGTACCAATCACTGTTGATGATGTTTGATTTGCACTCATTGAGAGCTGCTTTCAGTAGGTTAGATGATGTATGTTCTAGTCTATACCAGTACATGAATATTTGCTTTAACATGTCTATATATTAGCTGCAGCTAAAAATACAAAAGACACACGAAGAACAAGTTGCGATTGCGACACCGGCATAATCCAAGACAGTCGTACATAAAATGTCTCGTGTACTATGTCTTGCAATGAGGGAAACGAATCCAACACTTGGCTAGCGAAGATGACTCTAGACCGAAGCATAATTATTGAATTGCAATATATACAGAGGGCAAAAAACACGGACCCCCGGAAATTCCAGAGGTGGGATTAGGTACACTGTATCGAGGAGGAGAAAACACCCCCTGTTGACCTGGCCACACATCCCATGATCCCCATGTATTGATCAGGTAGATTGATTGATTGTATGTTGTTTAACGTCTCTCTCGAGATTTTTTTTACTCATTTGGAGACGCCACCACTTGCCGGTGGAGAGCTACAAATTTTGTCCTAGCAGCGAGGGATCTTTTTCGAGCCAGCACCTACTGCGACACGGGACCTCGGTTTATACATAGGCGCTTGGTTTCAGGATGGTGTATTTTGTGTATTATTATGTGTTTTTCTAGGTGTGTCTGAATACCCTTATCAAAATAAAAATAAAAATTCGCTGAAATTAGCACGTTTTAAAAATGTGATATTTACTGTATATAAAAAAAGTAAATATCACATTTTTAAAACGTGCTAATTTCAGCGAATTTTTATTTTAATTTTGATGAGGGTATTCAGACACACCTAGATAAACACATAATACACAAAATACACCATCCTGAAACCAAGCGCCTATGGGTTTATACGGTCTCACCCAAAGGACCGGTCTCCATGTTCCAAATTGGGATTCGAACACGCGACTTAAGGATCAACTTACATCGCGACTGTAGAGCTCTGACCACTGCACTGATCAGGTAGACTGAAATTACCGAAGTCAATCCAGTATATATCTAAGATACAAAGGCCTAACAACTGGTATGATACAAATACGACCCATAGGCGTCGGAAGCAAATTAGAATATTTATTCAACCAATTTGGGCCCACAGTGGAGCATACAGAACAGTGTCCAAAATCATCACAGTTATACATATACAAAACAGAACAAAACAAACATTGTATAATGAACAGAGAGTTAGTTATCTTCTTTTAGGATGTATAGAATGTACATTATAAGTGGCCTATGTATAATATCTGCAATATGCCTATATTGAACTATGTTGTTTTCTCTTATTAAAATTTGCATTTAAAAGTTGGCATAATAAAACAACAAACTCAGAATCTTCATTTGACATAATCCATGTAAACAGGTCAACATTGTTAAGCAGTATCAAATAATAGGAAAGGTTTTAAAGATTTTATCTAAAAACTCTCTTCTTGAGTCATTATAAAGTGAACATTCTAGCAAAAAATGCAATTCATCCTCAGTTGGACTTGAGGTGCAGTAACGACAGATTCTCTCACACCTGGGAAGAATTTCATTTTTACCACATTTATTAATTTTCCTTTCATACCTACCCGTTTCCACCCTTAAACAATGATTACTAATTCTGAATTTTGTGAGAATTACCCGATTGTCTCGGTTTTTCATATTCAAGTATTTTTCAAAATAAAAAGACCTTTTATACTTAAAATATGTATTTAATTTACCAAAGCCTTCCAAATAATTGGTACGAATATCGTTCCAAATGTTTAAAAAACTGTTACTGAGTTGTCTTTTCATGTACAATTTAAATTTGTTTTCACTTAGTTTTTTACAAAGGGACAAATTAATATTAAGTTTTTCACTGTAGAATAATATACTGGAGTACCAATCACTGTTGATGATGTTTGATTTGCACTCATTGAGAGCTGCTTTCAGTAGGTTAGATGATGTATGTTCTAGTCTATACCAGTACATGAATATTTGCTTTAACATGTCTATATATTAGCTGCAGCTAAAAATACAAAAGACACACGAAGAACAAGTTGCGATTGCGACACCGGCATAATCCAAGACAGTCGTACATAAAATGTCTCGTGTACTATGTCTTGCAATGAGGGAAACGAATCCAACACTTGGCTAGCGAAGATGACTCTAGACCGAAGCATAATTATTGAATTGCAATATATACAGAGGGCAAAAAACACGGACCCCCGGAAATTCCAGAGGTGGGATTAGGTACACTGTATCGAGGAGGAGAAAACACCCCCTGTTGACCTGGCCACACATCCCATGATCCCCATGTATTGATCAGGTAGATTGATTGATTGTATGTTGTTTAACGTCTCTCTCGAGATTTTTTTTACTCATTTGGAGACGCCACCACTTGCCGGTGGAGAGCTACAAATTTTGTCCTAGCAGCGAGGGATCTTTTTCGAGCCAGCACCTACTGCGACACGGGACCTCGGTTTATACATAGGCGCTTGGTTTCAGGATGGTGTATTTTGTGTATTATTATGTGTTTTTCTAGGTGTGTCTGAATACCCTTATCAAAATAAAAATAAAAATTCGCTGAAATTAGCACGTTTTAAAAATGTGATATTTACTGTATATAAAAAAAGTAAATATCACATTTTTAAAACGTGCTAATTTCAGCGAATTTTTATTTTAATTTTGATGAGGGTATTCAGACACACCTAGATAAACACATAATACACAAAATACACCATCCTGAAACCAAGCGCCTATGGGTTTATACGGTCTCACCCAAAGGACCGGTCTCCATGTTCCAAATTGGGATTCGAACACGCGACTTAAGGATCAACTTACATCGCGACTGTAGAGCTCTGACCACTGCACTGATCAGGTAGACTGAAATTACCGAAGTCAATCCAGTATATATCTAAGATACAAAGGCCTAACAACTGGTATGATACAAATACGACCCATAGGCGTCGGAAGCAAATTAGAATATTTATTCAACCAATTTGGGCCCACAGTGGAGCATACAGAACAGTGTCCAAAATCATCACAGTTATACATATACAAAACAGAACAAAACAAACATTGTATAATGAACAGAGAGTTAGTTATCTTCTTTTAGGATGTATAGAATGTACATTATAAGTGGCCTATGTATAATATCTGCAATATGCCTATATTGAACTATGTTGTTTTCTCTTATTAAAATTTGCATTTAAAAGTTGGCATAATAAAACAACAAACTCAGAATCTTCATTTGACATAATCCATGTAAACAGGTCAACATTGTTAAGCAGTATCAAATAATAGGAAAGGTTTTAAAGATTTTATCTAAAAACTCTCTTCTTGA